CCCAGCAATCTCCTCCGCCACTCCTTTCCACCATCCAATTCAAAAGTTGCGTCCCAGTTCAGACCCACGGTCTCTAACATCACTTTCGGATCCCATTAAAAAACAATTGTGAAGCATCCTCGAGCACACCCTTTCTTCCGCTTTCGATCTCTAATCTCACATCAATAATTGCAAGTGGACTTCTTCCTGGTGGAGGCGCCGGAGGACCAAAAAGCAAGGGTAACTCCTTTTTCTCCATCCTACCTCTGGGAGACCAGAAGGCGATGTCAGGAGTCCGTGCAAACAGGCCAGTTGAAATTTGTTTCTCGACAGCAGAGATCATCGAGGCAGGCGTCGACCTTTTCTTGACCAACTCGAACGCCATGATCACGAGTCATCGCGTTCCCAACACATGCATCCTGTTCGCCACTCGTGCCCGCGTAAATGCGGAGCCAGAAGTGTTCTATTCGAGGCCACTGGCTATGGATCCAGCGAACATGGAGGTTGGGACGCCGCAGGACGATGTCAGTTTGACCAGGCGAGGTTTCGGAAGTGCGTACCGTTTTGGAGGGCGCAAATGAAACTACACCTGAGGAGCGCACAGCCGCAAGCAGTGCCATCAAGAAAGAAGCCATGGAGGCGAGCAACAATACAGCAGTCCCTCAAATTGAGAGCGGGTATTTCCTCCATCTCCGCACGTTCAGTTGCGACAAGTGCACAACGCTTTCCTTAGCCGGAATGGCGTCATGCCACAGATGCGGAGCAGTCTTTCAAGGTGGCGCAACTGACGGTCCTATTTCTAAGTTTATGAGGTTGCAAATGCGACGCGCCAAGGCGGTGCAACAGCAGGGGGGCGTTCCCAACAACATGACAGCTACAAGCATGCTTGACAGCATTGCCGCGCAGGACTTGCAGTCCGGTCGCCCTCCCGCTCGTGGCAACCCCTCGGTTGATAGTCAGATCATTCTTTCTGCTCGAGGCCGTCTTCGCAGAGCATTGAAGGCAGGGTATGAGAATGTCTACGATCGGTTCAACCGCGACGATGTCTTCGCCACCTCCTTAACCGGAGAGGGTTGCACTGCTTTTGATGCAGCGCAAGAAGATTTGTTTGCGTCACTGCAACTACCGGCACCCTCACGATCCGCCAAGCAGAGATCAAAAGGGAAGTCAGTTGTGAGTGATTTGGACCGACAAGACAGGGTTGACCTCGCCAAGCTCGCGTACATTCGATGTGGCGTTGACAACCTACATACCTGCTTCAAGCATGGTGTTGACGAGAACTTCTTGATTAGTTATCGTCGAGAGTTTTTGTCCCTTAGACAATTCGCTGCCGTAATTGGCAACAGCCGAGACGAAATCAGGATCCAGGGCTTCATCCCTACCGACGACGTCTACGGTGACATTCATTCCATCCGCATACCTCGTGGAGACACGATGGGAGTTTGCGGAACAGAATGAAAACTATGCCAACATTCAATATTATGTCGGGCACGCCAGCCATAGATACAAGGAGCCAAAATAGTTTTATAAAGCAAAAACAAAGCAAAAAAAAAGCAAAAGGCAAAGCAAACAAAAAAGCAAAAAAATGTAGCTGTGCGTATTTGTCGCTTTTTTTTCACTTTTTTTTTCGCTTTATTTTCGCATTTGTTTCGCTTTATTTTCGCTTTTTTTCGCTTTTTTTTCGCTTTTTTTCCTAGGAGGGTACAGCAAAAACATATTTGTCGCTTTTTTTTTCACTTTTTTTTCGCTTTATTTTCGCTTTTTTTCCGCTTTATTTTCGCTTTATTTTCCCTTTTTTTTTCGCTTTTTGTTTTGCTTTGTTTTTGCTTTTTGCTTTGTTTTTGCTTTGTTTTTGCATTTTCATTTGCTTTTATTTTGCTTTTTTCACTTTTTTTCACAAAAAAAATTATTTGATGGTTGGCCATGTATGGCTGCCATCGCCCAACATAAATTCAATATCAGCGAAATGCCCAGCAGTCCGTCAACATGCAGGAGCGTGACCGCGGGCAGTCGATTGGGCAAATGGGGTTTATGAACATTGAACAACGTATGGCAACACCTATTCCAAAATTTGCGGACTGCGGACAGGACATGACTTCCTATGAAGTTCGCCGGTTGGAGCAGCTTTTGCTGGAATTTGGCCAGCGAGATTCTCCAACTCCTCAAGTGCCTGTAACAAGGCCACCGCTGACCCGAAAGCATTCGCAGTCATACATGGAAGGCGTTGCCGATGCTGACAAGAGACCGAGATTACAGTGGAGGAAGAAAGAAGATCGAGATCAGTCAGGTCGTATCGCGTCATGGACCGATGACCGAATTCCTCCGCCAGGCGTGCCACGACCACCTGCTCCCGTAACTGGGACGCATACCTCATCAGTGTACCAGCCGCCTCAACCTCGTGCTCAAGGATCAGCGTCACCAAAGGAGGACTTCCCTAAACGGAATGTCAGTGCAGATCAGAGTGTTGCCGGCAAGGGCGAAGGACAAGGCAGGTCTTCTGCAAAGGGACCGAAAGCTCCCCTAAAAGGGACGCCACGTGGTTCAGTCGGCCGTGCAATGTCTTTCCACCCTGAGGACAGAGCGCCCAGAAGAGGCAACGTCCCGAAAGACCTTTTAGGTCCCCCACTGCACACTCCACCGCCCATTCCAGCGGCAAAACCACAAATCCCAAAGCCACCAAGCAACCCACCACCTGTACCGGTGAAACAAGCTCCAATGCCACCACCAGCGAAACCTTCACCACCGAAGGTTCCACCGCCAAAACTCCCTCCTCCAAAAGTTCCGCCGGCAAAAGTGCCACCCAATTCAACCAGTGGCATTCCAGTCCACACCAGGCCAGCGGACTTCAACCTGACGCCGAAGCCGCCGCCTCTTGCCGATTTATACAACAGGTTGCAACCTTCCGTAAAAGGAAAGGGCAAAGACAAGCAACAGGCGAGCTTCCGAGGAGGACCTTATGATTCGCAGCAGTGGAATTTACAAAATGTACCGCCGCCGCCATTGCCATCCGGAGCTCCAACAACTTCGGCGTCATCATCCAATGCGCCCGGAACTGGGCAGCCTACAGTGCAGGGCACGGATGAGCGGCCATTGGAACCCGTTGATTTTCCTTAAATACAATGGCAGCGTACTGACCCATGGGCTGACAACTATAGGCCCAATCACATGGAGCTTCGACAATGGATGGAACATGGTTGGCATGACGAAACGGAGCGTTTTGGTTACAGACATTATTGAGACTATGTTGAACAGCTACCGTAAATGGTTTGACAAGCAGCTTATGAGTGTTGAGGTGAAGATCACCTTCTGACGCGCTGTGAGATGATGTTTCAGCTCATTGTCTCATTTCCTATTGCATCCTTAACCGGATTGCGCTAGTCGGAGAGTGAACTTTTAATCAATGCTCTACTTAGAACTGGGTCTAGCATGTCTAACCACATGCCGAGTGAGCCGGAAGGTCGTACACTAGGGTAGCCACGTTCTCCTTGTATAGTGCATGCACAAGCTTGATGAGGGATTTCTAATATGATTCCTTCGTCGCTAGAATTTGATCCTCCCCGAGATTTTCCCTACGGGTAGCTCCTTCTAAAGGGGGGTGTTGAAATTCCCCTCACCCCTTGGACCCCGTAGCGTGTACTCTCAAGGTAGAGTCAAATAGCGGTAGACCAGGGTTGGCTAGATAGTTAGGACTATTAGAGCTGATCCTGTAAAATACATCTTTGAAGGGTATTGGGGCAAACCATTTTGGAGTGAAACACACATTTGTGAGCAGTTCCTCCGCAGGCTTTGGTCGAAGGCTTGCTGCTAGGCCTTCATGTGCCTGCCTTGGATTTTGGCAGTCATGGCGAATAAATTGAAATTGTGATCATGTAGGCTTAGACTTGCATTTGTCCGGAATTTGACGATTTTCTTTGTGAGCAACTCGCAACCCATTTGATCTAAAGACCTTAAAGAGGGAAAACAAGTAACTTAACCGCGACCCCCCAAAAAAACTGAGGCAGACAAGCGATTTCAGGGCACAAAGACGCCAGAGAAAGACAAGGCGGATAATTCAGCAGAGAATTTAAATTCTGATTTTGAAGTTGAATGAAGGGAAACCACTTTGAAGTTTTGACTTTGAAGTGCACCCACTCGATGAACAGGATGTTTGCTCAGGCACCCAAGGGTCCGGAGAAGGTTGAGATGCTCGGCTACTCGAGTGCAGAGGACATTGAGAAGGCCGGCCTTTGGAACTTGTGGGGATTTGGGCGCCATCGGTGCGACGCAGGCAGGTGCCATCGCTGCTGGGGTGGTTTTTGCACGAGAGCTCGTGCTGGCACCTCAGATATTCGACCGACATGGGGTGATGTCTGGGCATGGCTTGGTCATCTTTTTGAAGTGACTAGTAGCGATGCCCTTGTTACTAGTAGGAATGCGCCGGCCAACATCGTGGATCCCCTGAATTTGACTGCTGCGGCTGCGGATATGGCCCAACGCCTCGGACTGTCCTCCAAGATCCTGGATGAGAAGGACACAGTGAAGATCGGTTAGCTTAGCATCTTCTCAACAATTCACTTCCTCTGATTGAAAGAGGTTTTTCACTTCGTTGTTCCTCAGTTGCGTAATCAGATTCGAGTATGGAGTGACACTCTTGGGCAAGATCCTGATCGGAGCATCCAGGAGTGCGAAGCGATGGGCATGGGCTCCTTCTTGGCAGTGAGTCGAGCTTCCAACTTGGGGGCCCGGCTCATTCATCTCACTTACTCACCAGGCGGTGAGCGTGAGCTGAATCCCTTTGCGAAACAATGAACCGAGAAAAAGCGCTTCTCAAGGGAAGCACAAACCACATGGATTGTAATTACTGTAGCGGTCCACAGACAGAGCTCAACCTCTGGGCCCGTGACGAGTCTGTTTTCGACACAAACGAGTCAGGTGGCGAGGTGAAGAGAAAGCTGGGCATCGTGGGAAAGGGCTTGACCTTCGACTCGGGTGGCTACAACTTGAAAGGAGCAGGATGGGATAGGATGGGTGTATTGCAGGTTGGTGGCAGAAGTTGGCGGTATTGGTGATATCAGTTGTATGTACTGTATAAATATATATATATATATACAAATATATAGTATGATATTATAATTGTAATCTCTCTCAGTCTCATGGTTTTCAATCATTTTTTTTATCAACCTTTCCTGTCCCTATCACCCTGGTGTCCTCAATTCCCTTCACAGGCTCCATGATCGAGTTGATGAAGTTTGACATGGGTGGCTCAGCAAGCACCCTTGGAGCTGCAGCGGCAATAGCGCAACTAAAGCCCAAGGACATCGCTACGAACGGAACAAGGGCATCGCTACTAGTAACGAGGACGCTACTAGGGGCTCCTGGCCTTACTACTAGCAGCAAGGACGACGCTACTAGTAACAAAGGGCTTCGCTACGAACGGAACAAGGACTCTACTAGACAGTCACGTGTCGATGTTCCGGTGACAAGGCCCATCTGTCGGCAGGCAAAGATCGCCTTCTTGTGATCGGGATGCAATCCCACGTAGTGAACATGCTGAATATACCACAACGAGTTGAACAAGTGCAGGAGTTGAAACAAGCCAACTACTCCCAAGCTTGAAGGATGTAGAGGTCCACTTTGTCATTGCCACCTGTGAGAACATGGTGAGCGGCAACTCAGGTACGGTGTTTGTGGGCGAGTTTCTGTGCTGGCAGCACAGGATCTCTTGATTTTGACAGGACTTTTTCTAAGTGATACTGCAGGCGCCCTGCGGCCTGGTGATATCATCACCGCAATGGATGGAACCACCATTGAGGCGATCTGGGCATATCTGGGCGCTGAAGCAAAGACAAAAACCAAAGAAGAAATAGATGAAACAAGGAAGGTAAGGTGCCTTTTAAAAGGTCGCTTTAAGACTTTGGCCGCCCACCTTGGTTTGATTTCCGCACCATTTTGCTGTCTGGCTCGAGACCTTACGCCACCTTACTACCCCACGGGCCCGAACCGGGACCCTCCATGTCATTGAAGTGCTTGTGAAGAAACTGACAGAGCACAGCAGAATTCCTTTGCTTGGAATCTGCACCTAGCCCTGATTTCTGGAATTATACATTCATATATACTAGTAACAAGAAGCTACTAGGGGCTCCTGGCCTTACTACTAGGAGCAAGGACGCTACTAGGGGCTCCTGGCATCGCTACTAGGAGCATTCTTACTACTATGAACGGCGGTTGAGCCATGCTACATCGTGTTTTTCTCCTTGCGCACGTGGGAGTGCCGGCGCCTCAGTGCTTGAAACTCACCGTCGAGGTCACAGGTTTGCCACCGGAGAAAGCAGTTTTTCATACGAGAGAAGCAAACACCCCTGAGTTTGTTTCTCCCTCACGTGAATTGACCACAGCTAGGATTTTGCTCTTGATTGCTCTACAGATTGCTACAGATTTACCACTCACTCGATTTGAACGTGAGGAATGCCGAGACGAATGCTCAGTTGTGCCATGAAGCCAGCCTGGCCCATAGCCTGGTGCAAGCTGCCACCTCATTTGGAAGCTACGCAAATGTGCTTTGGTCGGGATGATGAGGAAGACTAGGGTACCACGGCCCAGCACCGGAAATGTTACTTGGGGTTGTGACTGTTGTGACTGGAAAACACTGGGACCAGATTCATTCGACCAGATTCATTCGTCTTCCGAACAGAAGGCCCTGAAACAGGCCCTGAAGGGCTCGACGCGGTAGCAGGCTTCTGGAACGTGCACCTGCGTCTCACCAAACTGAGCAAGTCCAAGGTTACAGAAGAAAGGCCCGGTCACAGAGGCTCACGCAACAAGAAGAACAATAACAACAACAACAATCAGGTGCCACGGGCAGCTATGGGGCAAACTGGGTTTTGCAACACTACTTACTACTTAGATGTTCCTTGAGCATGTTTATGTTTGCGCTGTTTTGTTCATTCTTCACAACACCTTGACATAGTTGTGCCAAGTGAATTGGGAAATTGGGACCATTTGAGGGGCCCTTTGGGACGAATTCAGGGTGGGGCAGTCAAGGATCGTGTGATCTGGAGGTGCAACTTCTTGTTAACGGCTATGTCAGTTCTTTGTCATACTGCCTTGCGTTTCTTGGGAGGAACATGGCTGAAAAGGACTCAAAAGAGTGGAATTTGGTCCGCTTCGTTCCGTTAATTCTCGACATAGGTACAGGTTAGAAGCCCAATGATCCAAACCAGTTTGGTGCTCACTCTTTGTCTCTCTGTCAGTCTCCCAACAAAGCAAATAAATACACCTTTTCCACTGACAGAGCAGGAGAGATCCATTGAACGCGATCCATTGAACTTGTCCTAGTCTTCGCACTTGGGAACCTTCCTACCTCTTCTTACCTGGTGTTTGTGGAGGCCGAAGACGATCTACGCAAAATGGACGCTTCACTCCTTCGGGACTCCTTCGTGCTTGGTTTTGTTGGCGTCACACTGGGATGGTGCTCCAGCCACTTGCTGGTGTTGGGTTTGGAAAACAGTGGTAAGCCTTATTAGTGCCACGCCTTACATATCAAGCTATGTGCTGGCAGTGAAACGCACATCATTGCATTTGGCGGAGCTTTTCCGTGCTTCCAACACCACAGACACAATCTTGGTGATGTCAATAAGGGATTTTACTCCAGCAGGACGAGCTCGACCAAGTGAAGTACAATCATTTTCGGCGCTTCGACCAAGTGTTTTTTGTTGCTCCTTGGCTACGTTGTTATTTGTCTGTCAACCTTTGCATAATTCTTGCCATCTACCAAATAACAGCGAAACATCAATTTTACATGAGGTGAGGGAGCTGTGAATCTTGTTACAGTCATTTGTTGAGTCATCTTCGAGCAAGAGTTTACTTGGCTTCGAAGAAAGGACGAACCGTATTCCCTCTACTTGACCACTCAAGGTTGAGGTGCAGATCGTCGTTGCCATCATTAGTGCTGCGCTTTCGAGAGGCGTAAGGTTGCTTGACCTTCATTTCATGAAATGCCTGAGACCCTTGGAAGGGACAAGCATACGCCACCCTTCAGTAACACCATAATGCACATGTAGATGCACCAAATGCATAAGAGCTGCTGCGTGAAGGGAGACTTTGTGGAGTCAACCTTACTGCTTACCATTCTTGCAGAAGAGCGTGACAGTTTCAGTCCAGACAGCCTTGCTGGCGGATGTTTTTGGTGCGACAAGTGGCTAACCAAGGTGGTATCTCTCACCCAAAAGGGATGGAGGCTGGGCTCATTCCTGCTTCGACATTTCCTTCGGCATCTTGCAAGCCCAGTTCTTGAGTCACGAGAGGTAAATGGACTGCTGAGTGGACGCCTCGTCGATCAAATGCAGATGCTGAAGACAGAAGTCGAACCCTGACAATCCCCCTGGATGTTGACATCTACGGAGCAGCGGCCACCTGTCTGACATCTAACGCGGTGCATTTGTACATCATGTTTTTCTGATTGGTTCCAGGTCTCCTCTTGCATCCGGGACATGCAGGTTCTTGCCCTTGGTTCCCACCAGAACGCAGGCGCCAGCAAAGACCAAACTCCAGTCTGATGTGATGTGCTTGTTAAGAGTCAAAAAACATTAAGCAAGACGTTTGGGCCTTCCGCAGATGAAAGCATCCGGGCCTTCCGCATCGTAGCATCCCTGTTGATGCTTTGGACATGTATTTTCGTCCAGGGGCCTCGTGCTCAGGCGAGACAGCCGTGAGACCTATCGACGCAAGACAGCCGGAACTCGACGTCGACGAACTTCCCTGAGGTTTGTCAGCTATATGGCTGCCTCCCAACTCTCTTCCGATGTCATTTTGAAATTCCGCAGGCTCTATGACAGGCGCCGATCTACTTGCTGTTTCTAATTGTTTCCAATTGGACACCTGAGTGATTTGTGCTTCAGTTACGAGCTGATGGTCTACCGTGGAGATTCGCTGCAATTGACACCCAACGGCTTTCACCGTGGGCAGCCTGCAGGCTATCGCCCTGCTGGTCGCTTGACAGCACAACTGCCGTCAAATGTCGCCAAAGATTCAAAGGCCTCGGTGCATGTCCTGAGGCTTCGCCTATTTGAGCGAGGACAAGATGCATGAGATTTGTCAGATGTTGCTTGGATGTCCTTGCCTGTTCTGGTTTTTCCTGCGTGTTTTTTTAGCTGTTTATGACATGGATTGGTGCACGAGCCGGCTTCATACCTGGAAACGAGGCCACTTGCAAACGATCTCTTCCTCTTGGTGGTTTTGTTGATCTGGACGCTTTCGTGTGTAGTCGTTCCTTGGCTCTTGTGACACTCGATAGTGGAATGTGAGCCACCACAAACACTCTCTGGGAGCTTAGAGATTGCGTTTACCGACGTCCAACAACCTCTAAGCTCGAGACCTGACAATCGCCACAAAAGCACGGATCCCATCGATGTAATTCATGCAAGGACTTGAGGAGAGCTATTTGCATGCTGATGGACTTCACCATCACGTGACGTAGCTTGAATGAGTGTCCTTTTTGATCCTTTTTGTGAGTTTGTGAAATGAGACGCCCAAGCCAAGAGTGAGTTGGACGCATGAACGACAACTCAGTGATCCCATCGGTTGGATCGCTGTTTGAGACACTCCAATGTGATGCAGTCGGCCTTGTCGTTGCCTCCTTGTCACAAAGAACGTGGATCTCCTTCTCTGTCAGGCTGCCAACAAATCCTTTGAAAGATTCGACCATCGTGGCAGAAGCTGTCGATGGGGAAGATGGTGATGTCACCATCGCCGCTTGCCTGGAAAAGACTCTTCGACGTCGCGTGACGCTTAATTCTTATTGTTACTAGTAGTAAGGCACTTGTTCCTAGTAGCTTCTTGTTACTACTAGTAAGGCACCTGTTACTACTAGCGTGGCACTTGTTACTAGTGACAAAAAGCTATTTGTGAGGTTGGAATTCCTGTTGGAATGCGGATCTTCTTGACGTTGGCCGTATTCTTACCGCGCTCCTTGGAGCGAAAGCAACAGTAGCCGGTAGCCGAATCAAGAGGTGGCAAGCAAAAGCGTTTGTTTCACCGTTTGACCCACTTTATCAATAGCTTTCAGGCTTGATACTGGACGCTGTGATTCTGTATTTGGGATGCCGGTGGCTTGTGGCCACAAGCAACTTGGGACAAATACACTCTGCGAATCTCTGCGAGCTGTGTTGACGAATGACTCTTTGTCATTTTGCTCTTTTGAGGTGACATGGGTGATCTCATTCTGAATGCAGTGGCACTGGAGTTTGTCTTGGTTCTAAACTCTTTAGTGTGTCAGGCAAGGACAAGTCATCCACGTTAGGACGGAACCAGATCCCGCAGTTTCTGTGCTCAGGCGTTGGTGCCGGTGCATGGGGTGAACGGTTTGGAGCGCACCAAGGCCAGTGCAAAGTTCTGCTTGAACTGTCTGGAGTTTCTTCCCTCCAAGACACCCTATTCTTGACATTTCTTGACCTGGTCGTTGATAAACACATCCATACATACGCATTGGATTCCCTTGAAACTATATGTTTCGAAGGCAGTCTGACCAGATCATCCAGGTAGAATCTCCGATCCCTGAGGTCCTGTCGACCTCCTCGCGGCATGACTCTGCCATGATGGCCTTGGGCGCCACGTTGTGCTGGACTTTGTTTGCATCGGCCTGGTGCACTGCGTATGCTTTTTGGCAGAAGACATCGCTACTAGGGTGGAGGCCATCGCTATTAGGATGGAGGCCATCGCTAGTAATGTCGACGTCGGGTGAATCAACGGCCCCCCCCTCGAGGTAAACAAGGTCAACAAGGTTTGAGATTGGAGGTATTGGAGGACTACATCCCCCGAATAAAGGTGATGACATTGTGACATGATGGATGAGAGATGCTGACCTGGACTGGATGATGGTTGATGGGATTCACTATCCATGGACCAGAAGATATTGGATACTGTCCCCCTCCAAACAAAAAGACACAAAATAGATCAAAATAGTAAATATATACCGCGCAGTATACTGTGTATATATATATATAGATATTTTATATTAATGGGGCAGCAGCTGGGCTTGATTAATATGGGGGGGTTTCTTGCCAGGAAAAAGACTATTAGGAGGATGTCAAGGTGGAACTGTAGGTTTTAATTTACTGTAGTTTAGTATTGTGGGCTCGCGCTGGGCTTGATTAATAGGGTGGTTCATTAATCCTATGTTGACATTAGGATGGACGCCATCGCTAGTAGGATGGAGGCCATCACTACTAGGGTGTATATATTAGGATGTCGACATATGCAGACTGATTCATTCATGGGGTGATCTGAACGAAGAACTCCCATCCAAGGTATATTTTTTGCAAGATGTTCTGCCTGACTATCAGTGGGATGTCCGCGCCGTTTGCAATGCGTATCACAGAGCTATAGAAAGATCCGAATGAAGGGTCATTGAACTGATGTGATGTGTGTGTGTGTGAGCTTGGCCAACGGCCAGTGGCAAAGCGCCTGCAGAGAAAAGCCCTGCTCAAGTCTCATCGATGCCTACTCTAGATAACACAGAGAGAGTTGTTGACGCTGAGAATCAACTCGGACAGAGTCATGTTCTGGCGGAAACGATCGCTGAATGTCTCTGAGAGCCTGGACCTGGACATTGGATTATGCAGGTGAACAACACAGACGCTGAAGGGCGCTTGACTCTCGCTGATGCTCTCCTCTATTGCCAGCAGCAGGGTGTCACAGAGGAGGGCCCTGCAGGTTTCATTTTGTGCATGAATGCACAGGAGGAGAGAGAACGGGAAAGCGGAAAAGCTGGACATATAGAGAGAAAGAGTTAGCCAGAGAGAGAGAGAGAGAGAGACAGAGAGACAGAGAGAGAGGGAGGGAGAGGGAAAGAACGAAAGCCAGGGACGATTTTTCGAACTAGAGTTCATGCCGAAAAAGCTGGTAGGTGATTGACATAGCTACACTCACTGGTGCCTGCATGGTGGCGCTCGGAAAAGACATCACAGGCTTCAAGCTAAATGCCGTTGGAGGATTGAACGAATTTGAGCCCTCAAATTTCCCCTCGGAGGCATGTGGAGCAACTCTGATGAACTTGCTGCCAGTGGCGACCTGAGAATTTCATAGAATTTCATAGCAGAATGATGCATCATGTGCATAATGTTTGGTAGGGTTGATGCAGGACACCTTCTTTTTCCTAATCGCACGCAGCACAGATCCTGCAACTACAGTACCTGGCTTGATAGGTCGCCTGGTAGTGTCGGGCGGTTAAGATGAGTGTTTCATATCTGTCACGGTCTGTCAATTCCCAGCAAACCACTTCGATTTGGACAACTTGATCAAGCCGATACCCGATACCTTCTTCTTTTGGATAGTGTCCCTTCATCGCACTGCCTTGAAGAGGTCTTGGAGCTATAAAAGTACTGGCGAAGGAAACATTTATGTTATATTTTAACGCTTACGCCTGACAGCCGGGCGCCGGCCCAACACAGGGCAAACGTAGGATGGTAGAGGGGATAGAGGCAAAAGACATGAGGCGACGGGGGCCGGGACGTCGGGCATCCCGGCAACATCCTTCAATGTGGAAGGGGGCTGACCGCCCGGGTGTATGTAAGAAACACCGAAGGTCGGGAGAGCCGTCTCTCTCTCTCTCTCTTTCTCTTTCTCGTTGGCTTGCGTAGGGCCTCTTTCCCTCCATGTCTTTCTCCCTCTCTTCCCTCTCTCTCTCTCTCGCCTTTTGTTTCTGTCGCTCTCTCTCCGTCTGTTTCTCTCTTTCTTTCTTACTTACTTACTTACTTACTTTCTTTCTTTCTTTCTTGCTACTTATCTATCTATCTATCTATCTATCTATCTATCTATCTTTTTGTCTTTCTTTCTGTCTGTCTTTCTATCTATCTATCTGTCTATCTATCTTTTGGTCTTTCTGTCTGTCTCTCTGCCTGTGTCCCTGTCTCTGTCTGTCTCTGTCTCTGTCTCTGTCTCTGTCTCTGTCTCTGTCTCTCTCTCTCTCTCTGTCTCTCTCTCTCTCTCTGTGTCTCTCTCTCTGTCTCTCTCTCTCTGTCTCTCTCTCTCTCTCTCTGTCTCTCTCTCTGTCTCTCTCTCTGTCTCTCTCTCTCTCTGTCTCTCTCTCTCTGTCTCTCTCTCTCTCTCTGTCTCTCTCTCTCTCTGTCTCTCTCTCTCTCACACTCACTCTGTCTCTCACTCACTCACTCACTCACTCACTCACTCACTCGGGATAAAGCAGCATGGCAGGACGCCCGAACGAAAGCTGAAGATGTTCTCTTCTTCTCCTCCTCTTCCAGAGTAAAATTCTCTTTCTTCTCCTCTTCTTCTGTTCCAGAAGCCGTTCTCGCGGACCTGCGCACGGAGCTCCCAGCAATGTCCTTCGCCACTGCATTCCACAATCTAATTCCACCCCAAGCTCTCTCAGTTCCAAACGTTGCTTTCTGACGGCGATAAAATCTCTTCTTCTCCTCGTCCTAGGACCTGCGCTCGGAGCTCCCGGCAGTCTCCTTCGCCACAGCGTTCCACAATCTAATTCCACCCCAAAAACGACTGAAAATTCGTCCTCGGAGCTGCTCTCAGTTCCAAACGTTGCTTTCTGCCGGCAGTAAAACTATCTTTCTTTTCTCCTCTTCCAGTAGCCGTTCTCGCTAATTCCACCCTAAAAACCGTAGCTTTCTGCCGGCAGAAAAAAATATCTTCTTCTCCTCGTCCTATAACACCTGCTGCAGCCGGAGCTCCCGGCAATCTCCTTCGCCACAGCATTCCACAATCTAATTCTACCCCAAAAGGGACTCAAAATTCGTCCTCGGAGCTGCTCTCACAGTTGCAATCGTGCCGGCCGTACAATTCTCTTTTTCTTCTCCTCTTCCAGAGTAAACTTATCTTTCTTCTTCTCCTCTTCCAGAAGACGTTCTCGAGGACCTGTGCACGGAGCTCCCAGCAATCTCCTTCTAATTCCACCAAAAACGACTCAAAATTCGTGCTCGGAGCTGCTCTCTCAGTTCCAAACGTCGCTTTCTGACGGCAGAAAAAATCTCTTCTTCTCCTCGTCCTCAGACCTGGTCTCGGAGCTCCCGGCAATCTCTCTCGCCACAGCATTCCACAATCTAATTCCACCCACAAACGACTGAAAATTCGTCCTCGGAGCTGCAATCTAAACCCGGATGCAGCAAAGTTCTCTGATGCGCCCCCCCGCCATCGGCTGGGGTCGGCGGATATAATAGTTTGTTTTTTTCATCTTGCGAAAGCTGAAGTTGCAACGCTCTTCAGGCCAAAGTTAGGGAAATACTTTCAAACGAGCGCCCTGCCCGCCACATCTGTGTTTTGTCGGGACTGGCCATCCCATTACCCGCGCAATATGTAGTTCCTGGTGGCTTGATAAGTCGCCTGGTGTTTCGGTTGCCCTTTACACATTTTCACACGCTCAGCAAGGTTGTCATGGGCATCATAAGATTGTCATCGGTTTCCAAGACGATGCCACACGTACACGGGAGTTTGAAGCCTCAAAGAAACATAAACAACACGTGCGGAAAACCCGGTGTGGCCAATGTAAAACCAAACAAAGAAAACACGCAGTAAATCGTTTCACTGCGCGCGTTGGCCATCCGGATGTTTTGAAATGGAACAAGAAAGGGGAGGACGAACCAATATCAATCCATGTTCAAACAGCCCATGCACGTCACACTTTATATAACCCAGACTTACAACAAACATGTGTTGCAGCTTTGCTAATTCAATCAGACGCCTCTTTTGCCCCCTGATCCATGGCAGCATCTGGCCCTGAGATGGCTCGCTTTAACTCTACCTCATGCAAAGTGCTTGTGCGCTTCCAGCTGTAAAAGGAAGGAATGAATTGGTTTTCAAGAACAACGACAACCTTCCCAATAAGCTTGTGTATTCTTTTTGTTACCCAGTCAGACTGGCTCGCAGCGTTGGGGGACTGTGCAACAGCCGAGTTGTTTCTGAACATGGGCTATGTGATTGCTATTAGGTTGGAGGCCATCGCTATTAGTTGGAGGCCATTGCTAGTAGGTTTTATGCCATGGGCTTTTGTGCCAATTGGTGGATCATTGCTGTGAAATTGTACCCGAGTTGAGGCCTGGATGCTGCTTCCAAAAGCACTGACGAGAAGCTGTGGCGGATGCCTTTGGAGGTTTGTCCGCGATTGTGCAGCGAAAGGAAAGCTCAGAATGTTGGGGAATAGCACTTGCAGGTCAACCTGGTAATTTGTTGCCAGAGTCCAAACACCCCCAAACACCTTAAACCAAAAAGTGCGCACTCAGACTCAGTGCTTCAACAGCATGGCCCATGTGGAAATGGTCATCTTGCAGGATGGATACTTTGAGGGGCTGAAAAGTGCGGAGCTGAAACTTGAAACGGTGTAGTGAGATTTGCAGTACCAAAAAGCCAGAGCAGCCAGGTGACTTCGCAGATATGAAGAACACAGGGCCGCGCTTTGGCGGTGCAATCACAGCAGCTCTTTTCTTGCAGAAGTTCATTCAGAAGGCGTGTGATTTAGCGCACAGCTGGTGGTCGGTGGGTGGGTGGGTGGGTCGGTTGGTTGGTTTTCTTCACTTTTGCAAGCAAGAGAAAAAACATACAGCGTGTACTAAGTTACGAAGTTGCTGAGTGAGGTGTCACACACTCAAGATATTGCGTACTGACTCGATTGTGGTTTGCCACTCGCCAACCTAGGGTTTTAAACGTCCTGGAGGTCTTGTGGAAAGGAAGGGCCAAAAGTGTTCAACATCACAAAATCCAGCTCCGGCATGCGCGACCGACAAAGTGACGACGAACGCTCAAATCTGCAAATGCGTTAGCCCTTTAGTGAAAAGTGGAGTGACAGCTTGCAAGCACCACTCAGCAGGTACGTGAAAGTGGCGTCCCACTTTCATATCCTTAGGTGCATTGCCAGCTTCGTTGACCAGGCGACAATGTACCCCGCCTGGTCCCCTGCAAGAAATAGAATCGAAACTTCAACGGCAGCCCTCTGATACCAAGCCCCTGCACAAAAAAACAAAACTTCAACGGAACCCTCTGATTCCAAGGGTTTCACACACGCACACACACTTGAGAAGGTTGCTCCGTGGAGCTTGTCTTCAGGCTATTCGCGGTGAGCATTAGCACTTTAGTGTTACTGCAAATTAGACCTTGACTAAAGGAAAGTGCTGAGTCGGTCAAACAGAATGTTTCAACAAGGTGAAACGTGAAACGGCTGGGACAAAAGTTCAAAAGGTGCAGGTACACGGAAGTGATCAGCTTCCGCTTCCTAGGATCTTGCAAGGAGCTTCGTTGGGCAGAGCCTTGCAAGTCCTCTCTGCCCCCCCTGCTGCTTTTTTGTACAGAGTTAAATTCTGAGCGTCACGAGAAATAGATGATAGATAGGTTAGTTCCCTTCGAAACAGGGGTTAACACACACAAGAAGCCGAGACGGCGCATCTAGTACTATTCAAGGCATAACTCAACGCAAACTGTCTTTTTTGAATGGCTGCAATGCTGCAGCGCTAACGGTGCTTGACCGCTTCGTTTTGCTGACTCAGTCATTGGTCCTTGTCTTTTTTCTTCTTTTTTCTTTTTCTCCGCCAGGGGGTGAAGGGGTGTTCGGGCGTGCGTTGACTAAACGAGCCTGGTTGCCACCTAACCAGCCTGAAGAAAAGAACAAGACAAACGAAAAGGCAAGGAAAGAAGAGAAAGGTGCAGGGGGTGCGGGGGGGGCAGGGCGTGCGTTGTGACTAAACGAGCCTGGATCATACCTAAAAAGCCTGAAGGAAGGAACAAGACAACGAAAAGGCAAGGAAAGACAAGCAAAGGTGCAGGGGGTGCAGGGTAGGGTAAACGGACTCAAGGTCCATGGATGCTTTTGCGAGCGAACGGCAGTTTCCCGTAGGCACTGTCCGAGAAGCCGAATCGGCGCTTTGTCAAAAAGTTGAAACTGGAACTTGAAAAATTGGTAAAGACATCTCCCGGGTGAAACATGATTCAGTGGAACTCTGCAGTGAGATTCAGTGAGTAGTACGAGGTGAGACGATTCAAGTAAGCTGATTTCAAACAGGAAAATTCAGTCGGTAGAACTTCAGAAAAATTCAGAGAAATTACTCCCACGGTGAGGAGTCTCGGTAATGGCGCCCCGTAGGGTTCACACAGCTTACCACAGTGGGAAGAAGCTGCGAAACACACTTGAGAAGGTTGCTCCGTGGAGCTTGTCTTCAGGCTATTCGCGGTGAACATTAGCACTTTAGTGTTACTGCAAATTAGACCTTGACTAAAGGAAAGTGCTGAGTCGGTCAAACAGAATGTTTCAACAAGGTGAAACGTGAAACGGCTGGGACAAAAGTTCAAAAGGTGCAGGTGCACGGAAGTGATCAGCTTCCGCTCCCTAGGATCTTGCAAGGAGCCTCGTTGGGCAGAGCCTTGCAAGTCCTTTCTGCCCCGCTGCTGCTTTTTTGTACAGAGTTAAATTCTGAGCGTCACGAGAAATAGATAGATAGGTTAGTTCCCTTCGAAACAGGGGTTAACACACACACACACATTTTGGCATAGTCCAGTGCTTGCTTTCAGGAGGTCAACTGGGCACACCTGGACATTGCCGGCCCAGCATGGGCCGAGAAAGCCAAGGCCAGAACAGATGTGGGGTTTGGTCTTCAGGATGTAAGTTTTGAAGAGTAGCGTGAAAATCGAATTCGCGCACGTCGTCCTCATTCTGACCACAAATTTGCAAAGCATTCAGGGCATCTATGGAGTCGGTGGCACAGGGGCTATGGCCTCATCCTAAGCTCCTCTCGGTTGCGCGGATTTCTCTTTAAAGTTGTGGGCCTTCATGCCACAAAGCCCAAAAGCATCCAAAAACACTAAACCAACATGACCAAACATATTCAGAGGCTGACTCATACTGAGGTCCGTACTCTGACAAACTTCGCCTGCAAAGCCTGAATCTTCACGATTTCGTCCCCATGAAAAGCATCGTTCACTCGTTCACGACATGAACGGAAGGAACCACGCAATGTTCAGAATGTAGCAGCACGGCACATAACTGCTTGGAGTTTTGCTGTTCATGGCCAAATATATTATTTGTGCCCGTCAAGCCTGCCAGTTTTCGCGGCGCTGCAGAAGCAAACATATGAACCATTGTCATTGACCGTTGTTAGAACCAGCAGCCCCAGTGGTTACGAAGTCAGTCAATTGTAAGGGTTTGCATGGGTTTCAGCACATTGCGGAGAAAGAATTATTTTTCTTCCAAATGCAATCGGGCCGACTTCCATGCTGTCTGAGTGACCGAAGCGTCAGAGTGGAGACTGCCACAGAAGGTGAACAAGGACAAGGATTGTGACATGTCCTGGTCATTTGAACCCACGGGTAAGGCGTTTGCTTGTGCCGCTAATTTTCTCGTCACTCAATGGTGAGAGCTGCAAACGTACCTGCAATTTGAAGTCTCTCCTTTTTGATGTGATTCTATTCTGAGCTTACCGCTGTCTCATACATTGTTTCTGCAATACAGGGCTACCGCTAATACAATAAAGTGCTAATGCATTCGGTGATCCAGTAACTGACGCTATGCTCTTGCGAGCCATCTATCTATCTATCTATCTATGTATAAATACGTGTGTCAATGCATGTGAGAGCTTGTCAGAAATCCTTAGACATGTTTGAAACTGCTCAAAAGGCTTGTGCGTAGAATATGTTCAAAACACTGGAGGAGACTGGAAGCCTACAGAGTGTGCTTGAGGAAGGATACGGAGCATCCTCTTGTAGGCCTGGTTGTGCCAAATCATCTCTCCTCCCCACGGCATTCAAAGACTGTTGGCAAACATGAGTCTCATTCCAGCAGAAACCTCTCCTCGCGAGAGACCAGAACAATGAAAACTGAGTGAATACTCACTTCATAGACCAATTTGTAGGCCCCTGGCCCCCAGGCCCTAGGCCAACTGGACTTGACCCCAACGACTCCCCAACAGTCATAAGTCGATGAGGTGCGGAGATTCCAGATGGCACCAACGAGACATCCATCCCAGCGGATACCATCTCATGGTTTGTGCTGGAAGCTGGGTTCTTAGAATATATGATCGACCTTGACAACAGCCTGACATGTCAAGTACACAACTGTGATTACCTGTGAAGTTCGATATCAAGATCTGATGTGTGCTTCGGCAATTTGGTTCAAGGTTTTGGACCCTAGTGACCCAGGCACAGTTCTTAT